AAACACATTTGAGGCACAACTCTCATTACAGTTGCAGCCGCCACGCCGGTCCTCCATGATGGGGTCGAAGAGATCCTTGAACGCTTCCTCGTCGCCCGCCACGCAGCCCACGGTCAGGACCTATGGGTGGCCCGGGTTGTCCACGCCTGTCTGGATGATGCCGTCCAGCGTGAAGCCGCTCGCCGTGCTCTTGGCGCGCAGCGCCGCGTACAGCTCAGGGTCGGTACGTGGTTGTGGCTGCTCAGGTCGGGGAAGCAGTCCTCAGCCCCGAGGCGCAGCTTCAGCGTGTTGTGGCTGTTGGAGAACAGCATGGCGGCGGCGGGGGCGGGGGCGGGGGCGGGGCTGGGGGTGTTGCTTCCATCCGCAGCTCCGGGTGCTGCACAGGCGTCACTAGAACCGCTGTTCCGCTTGCCACTTCAGTGGTTTTGATTATTCCAACATATATATGGTTTCTGTCCAGTGAGCTCTCTCCACTGAGTTCTCCTTCAGTCAATGTTCTGCCCTCAGTCTTGAGAAAAGTAACAATGCAGAGAAACTTTAAGCATGTTGTGTATGGGTTACATCCTTGAGTCAGTGTTCTTTCCTTGTACTAGGGAGTGTCCCACTTCCCCCAAAATTGTATATGACATAAGCTGTAGTCCTGAGTCACAATAAGATGTACTATTTATGTGGTAAAATTGTATGGGATTTGACTAATGCATACCGACAGGTTCTTTTATTCAAGAATGTTTCTTTCATTCAAGCTCCTCTTCCCTCCACATACAGGGAATCAATCGCCGTTTGTATATTGTCGTTGGTGTTGCTTCTTTGTTTCACTTCTCTGTCATCAAAGCAAATCATACCGTGCTCTATTTTCATTTGATCTTCCAAAAGAAAACTACTGAATATATAAACGAGAATTTCAGCTATTCAGACTCAGATCCACCGCTAAGCAGTCAAGGCCAAGGCTCCTGCGCTGCAACACTGCGGCCGGGAGAGGGCGCTGGAATCCGCCTTCCGGCTCTGCAATCCGCCTTCCGGCTCTGCGGGGCACATGCGCATTCTGGCTGCGGAGGCGGGGCTGGGTCTCCAGGGAGCATGGGAGCCAAGGCTTTGGGGCAACTCCGGCAGTGTCCGTCACGAGGAAAACTTCCGGTCGGCAGCCCTAACTGCTGAGAAGGGAGATTCACTGCAATCTCCCGGATATTTCTCTGAAACAGCAATAAAGACTTAATTTTCTGAGCTGTTCCCACGTGTTTTGTTCTGTACTTCCTGTTGGCATATTTTAGCATTATTTAACAAATGTATAAATTTGGGGTGGGGGAGGGCTTTTTGATGGATAATTGAAGCAGGCTGTAATATGTCCTCCCTGTGACCTCTTTCAGGATCGACTGTGAGGAGAAACACAAGAATTGTGAGGAAAGTCTGCAGAATACAGGGACCCTGCAGATGAAGAAGTGTGGGACCAGGGCAGGGCCGGCAGTCTCAGTGCAGCTCGAAGGATAGGGGCTCCTGCGGAGAAACCCCGAGCTCAGCATCCGTGCATTTCCACATCGTGAGGGGCTCCTCTTTCTTACAGTGCTAAGTCTCTGGAAAATAGACAATGAAAGAGAGGAACGTTAATTCAACATTCAGTTGATGACACTAAAGCATTAAGAACTACATCTTTCTTTTCATCGTAGCACTGCAGATTTTAAAAATGATTTCCATTACAAAGGCAAGGGGAAGAGGTACACTTGTGAACAACAGTTTGGACCCCAAATGAAACTATATTGTTAAATATTTCTTCAAAAATAAGTCATTATTCTGTTTCAGTATATATCCTGAGATTTTAACCTATAAATAGGTTAAAAACATTTTGTTTATAGTCAAAACGAGTATAATGGTAAAATATTTATTTGGCAAGCCCCTCATATTTTTATTCTTCTACCAGTTTGCCACCCTTAGGTTTTCAGCTAGACTTGACACAAGAAACACAATGAGAGGTCTTTCTCTTCCTTGACTGTAAAATATGCATACTCCAGAACATTCAACATAGGCTGTTTCTTAACTATTTCAACCTGAACCCTACAACCAGAGAGAATGTAGTCAAGTAATCCAATATTTTTTTTTTTTTTTTTTTTTTAGACGGAGTCTCTAACTGTTGCCTGGGGTGGAGTGCAATGGCAAGATCTCGGCTCACTGCTACCTCCGCCTCCCAGGTTCAAGCAATTCTCCTACCTTAGCCTCCCAAGTAGCTGGGATTACAGATGCCAGCCACCACTCCTGGTTAATTTTTTGTATTCGTAGTAGAGACATGGTTTCACTCTGTTGGTCAGGCTGGTCTCAAACTTCTGACCTGTGTTCCATCCACTTCTGCCTTTCCAAATTCTGGGATTACAGGCGTGAGCCGACATGCCCGGCCAAGTAACCCAATTTCAAAACTATGTCTGGGGGCCAAATGTGGTGGCTCACACCTATAATTCCCAGCACTTTCGGAGGCCGAGGTGGGCGGAACCCTGAGGTCAGGAGTCCAAGACCAGCCTGGCCAACATGCTGAAACCCCGTTTCTACTAACAATACAAAAATTAGCCAGGCATGGTGGTGCATGTCTGTAATCCCAGTTACTCAGGAGGCTGAGGGACGAGAATCGCTTGAGCTGGGCGGCGTGGGGTGGAAGTTGCAGTGAGCTGAGATTGCGCCATTGCACTCCAGCCTGGGTGACAGAGCAAAACTGTGTCAAAACAAAAACATACATCTGGCAGGGCGCCGTGACTCATGCCAGTAATCCCAGCACTTTGGGAGGCTGAGATGGGTGGATGACAAGGTCAAGAGTTTCAGATCAGCCTGGCCAACATGGTGAAACCTGTCTCTACCCAAAATACAAAAATTAGCTGGGCATAATGGTGCACACCTGTAATCCCAGCTACTTGAGAGGCTGAGATTGGAGAATTGCTTGAAACTGGGAAGTGGAGGTTGCAGTGAGCTGGCTTGCACCACTGAACTAGAACCTGGGAGACAAAGTGAGACTCCGCCTCAAAAAGAAACAAACTAACAAATAAAACTACATCTGATCTTCCGCAAAGTATCTGCTATTTTCCTTAGAAAAGACCAAAATCCATGAAGCAAAGAGACCTCGGAATAAAGGCAGTAAGGTCTGCCTTGGACTCTTTTATGACATTAGCAAAATTAAATGAATTATCCTGTTTTTTTTTCTTATTCATCTAAATGACTTTTTTTTTTTTGAGATGGAATTTTGCTCTCGTTGCCCAGGCTGGAGTGCAATGGCACGGTCTTGGCTCACCACAACCCCTGCCTCCCGGGTTCAAGTGATTCTCCTGCCTCAGCCTCCTGAGTAGCTGGAATCACAGGCGAGTGCCACCACTCCCAGCTAATTTTGTATTTTCAGTAGAGACGAGGTTTCACCATGTTGCCCAGGGTGGTCTTGAACTCCTGACCTCAGGTGATCCACCCACCTTGGCCCCCCAAAGTGCTGGGATAACAGGCATGAGTCACCACTCGAGGCCTCATCTAAATGACTTCTTACTACAGGGGAAGACTTCTCAGAAAAAGACATTTTGTAATTAGATTTATTTTTATAAACATCCAAGGGAAACAGAGTCTATACTTCACCTAATAAAACTGATTAGGGTATCAGCTAAATGGAAAGAGAATCTACAAACAAATTTATACAAGATCTAGGGAGAGAATGTCGCCCTGAGCTCAAGGGCCTGTTAATGGTGGCACGTCCGGTAAAAGTGCAGCCTCACAGATTTTCCATCTAGTTCAGCTCTTGTATTTACTGGTCACCTTTTTCTCCTCCGATACCATCTAACCTTTTTTATGTTGTTAAATAATTTTTAATCATAAAAAGGTTAATTCTGAGTTTGGGCATTTGGTGTCTGGCCACCTGAAAGTTCAGGTGATTTTGTCCATGGAAGACATGGATTTTTAAATAATAATAACGTTGAAAGGGGAACTTGCATTACAATTCGGAAATCAGTCCAGTGGGGGATACAAGCAAGAAATAAGTTAACAGACAGATTAGCACATAGTGACATATTAGCAATTAAATAAAGGCCCTTTTTGTATTTTCTTCAGCTTGTCTTATGAGCCTATTATGTTTGGATAATTTTCGCCAGGAGAGTCATTTTAAAACTTCATTCACTTAAAATACATAGTATTTTATTATTTAAAAATACTGTTGCTTGGAGTGGTGGCTCATGTTATGGTGAAACCCTGTCTGTACTAAAAATTCAAAAATTAGCTGGGCTGGGTGGCACACACCTGTAATCCCGGCTACTTGGGACTCTGAGGCAAGAGAATCACTTGAACCCCAGAAAATGGGGAGGTTGCAGTGAGCCAAGATTGCACCACTGCACTCCAGCCTGGGTAACAGAGTGAGACTCTGTATCAATTAAAAAAAAAAAAAATACTGTCAGCCCTCCACGTCCATGGGTTACAGCTCTATGAATTCAACTAATCATGAATAGAAAATAATCAGAAAATATTTACACAAGTTTCCCTCCCCACCCCCAAAATTTGAATTTTCCGTTCACCAAATTCTTTACTGAGAACACATAAATGATGTGAGGTCTGGGCATTGTATTAGGTACTGTAAGTAATCTAGAGATAATTTAAATGAATTAATATGAATATGTTATGTCTAAATTCTATACCGCTTTATTCAAGGGGCTTGGGCATCCACAAATTCAAAGTTTCCTAGAACCAATCCTTTATGTTTACCCAGAAATGACTATACACATGAACATTTCAAGAATTAATTGTCTTTCCTAATTAATAAACAAAGTACAATAGAATGTAAATATCACTATTTTAAAATACTGATATTTTATATCGCAATTATATGGTGAATCAGAGTAGGAGTTACGTCGGATTGACTTTGATTAGATTAAGCTAATTATGACAGGGGCACACCCATATTGATTGAGTTTTGATAAAAGTACTCCCCTGCAGGTCCTTCCTATTATTTAATCAGCAGCACCAGCCAATCACATTCATCCATCTTGACAAATCCCATGGCTCTATCTCTTATAAGCCTCTTGGAATTTTCCCAAGATTTCATTCTAGCAAAGCATCATTCGACCTGTCCCAGGCCAGGGCACACACTCCCATGTTCTGGCTGTGCTGAGCTGATCATCTTCTTCGGGTAAAGGAAAAGATCAAGTCGTAGACTGTGTCGATTTACAGAACATAAGTCAAAGATTGAGATTTTCTGATACAAGCAAATCTAGAGAACCTTTACTATGTATGGTTACCAGTGCCCAAGAAGCCCCAGTGATTTCTGGACAGAATTGCAAAGTGACAGTCAAGGAGAGAGCAGGTATGTTGGGATGTGTGTCCATTTTGGGTTGCCAGGAGGTTGACGTGTGACTGTGTGTGTGTGAGTGTGTAATAAAGGGCCAAACTAGGGCAGAGAAGGCATTGAATATTATAAACTTGGAACACGTAGGGAAGATGTAAGACCCACAGTGGAGGTCCACAGGATGTAGCCAGCATGGGGGTTTCTGGAACCTGTTAGGGGGCTCATCTCAGGCTTCCTCCACTGTCCATCTATGCCTCTCTAAATGAAAGTCGGCTTGTGTGTGGAGACACGTGATCTGTGGGCATGATCTAAATTTATTCCTTGTGCTCACTAGAAAATGAAACATTTCCCATCGTCTCTCACTCCATTCACACTGTAACTGCATAGACACGGGGGTCAGATACCCGAAATACCAACATCTTCTCCTAAAGTCCTCAGACCAAATTAGATGCCCCTCCTTCTCATGTGGATGAACTCCTGAAAAGCTGTTTGCTGTGGTCACCATTCCTGGTCACATACATGCACCAATAGGAAAAGGCTTTGGAAAAGGTGAGGGTGAGAGATGAGCATTAGTACTTATTGGGTACAGCTACAGTTTGAAGTTGAGCACAAGTGCACTTGACCTAGGGCCACAGGAAAAATGTGTACGGGATGACAAATGGAGTTTTTGCTTGTGAGAATGGACTCTGTGTCACTGTGTGGAAGACTGATAGGTCCCTTTCTGTCCTAAAGCTTGGCTACCACACAAATGAATCCACCCAAACGTCGCCGAGTGGAGCAGGGTCCCAGGACAGGTAAGGCACTCTCCCTGATATTTCTTAAGATCCCCATGCCTGGAAGTCAGTGTCATGTCTCATAATATCATAAATGGAGAGGGTGTTTCTGCAGGATGAGTGGGTTGTTGAGGGCTGATATCCTGAGGCTGGCCTGTGCTGGGTTGTGGATTTCTGAAGGTCATATTCTCAAATCCAAGAGACTTTTGCTGGAAGAGAGCCTTAACCTCCCTCACTGTGGTCTCTCTATAGGTGCAAAAACACCCTCAATTCCAGGAGCTCCACACCAGGATTTATGCCAGTCCCTGGAACCTTCCCAGGTAAGTTCCTGTGACCCTGCATGGCAAACACTGTACAGTGCTGCACGATCTTCAGGCTCAAGGGACAAGCAGGGGATGTACATTTAGGTGGGTCAGACTGAGAGGGAGTTTGTATTTTAAAGTTGTGGAGGGGGAAGCTCCTGGCATCTCCCTTCCCATGAGCCTCATTTGCAGCCTGTTTGAGGGGAGAATGCTGAGGGCTGTCTTTCCACAGGAGCAGCAGGATTCCAGCACAGAGGAGTTCATCGTGATCCTGGAAGAAGAGACAGAAGTGACCCTGGGCCTGGAAGAGGGCATCCTCATCCTGGCCCCAGAGACAGCCCTACAGCTGACCCTGGATAACACGGTCCTTGTAATTGTCCCTGAGCAGGACCTGAGGTCACCAGATGGCCTGCAGTCCCCTGTGCAGATCCAGTACATCCTGCCCTCCGTTGATGGCTTCACCTTGGAGTTCCATGATGAAGATGGAGACGTCTCAGACATGAGAAGAGAGAATGTGCCTCTTTCGCCTGCAGAAGAGGGGGAGGCAGCACCCCTATATCAGCAGCCCTTGATGATACCCCCAGCAAACCACATGGCTGGGATCAGCCCTTTTCTCCCAGTAACCCCATTGTGCATTCCACGCCGTCTGACAGCCCTCCCCCAACGCTACCGTCTGCCACCCACACCTAGTCCAGTGCGACGCATTAAACTGGACGACTACATTTTCAGCCTGCATGGTATGGAGCTCTTGTGCACCTCCTCCCTCAGACCTATGCCCCCTTCACCAAGTCCTGGCCCCCAGATCTATCACAGGATTCACCATAGGCCTCCTAGCAGAGCACGAAGATGTCTCTTCAGGGAGTGATTTAACCCAAGAATCCCCCGTCGCATTGACAGGTCAGAGATTGTCAATAGTCAGGGTCCTTGGTCAGTGCATTCCCTGTATGTGGAGAGACAGTAATTCCAGGCACCTGTTGCTTCCCCTTTGCCGTTTCCCATCATCATCCACTGTCTTCAACAGCAGAGGGTCCCAGATGCTGCAGGGGCGGGGAGCCCTGCAGGGAGTTCACATAAAATGATCGCATTTCACTTCACACACACTGTCCCTTAGAATTTCTCCTCCGGATTTAACTGCTTAAATCCAACCACACCGAGCTGAATCCCTGACTCCTGCAGGTGAGAGCTGGCGGAGGTGCACAAGAGCTCCATTCCTTGTCTTAATCCAGGCTCCCCCGATCCCCAGGCCGATGTTTTTGAATAAATATTGATGTTATTGAATGAAGTACTGGTGACTGCTGTGTTTGCTTCCAGCTGAGACACTCTTCTGCTCTCGCTTGTCCT